AATATAGTGGAAAATATATGTAATAATCATGAAAATTAATTTTTAGTTACWCTAACTAGCTGATTTGTAAAAAGAAATTCAAGAATAAACCATGGAAACTTCAAAATATACCAAAAATCTTGTAGAAAAAAATATATTTTGTGATTCTCTTATGAATTATGATGCACCCACGTYGAATTAACCGGCATGTGATTTAAAACAGTGTGCCGAGAAATTTCGCACTTAAATCGATTCGATTATATTTTATTATTATAACAATGATACCAATAATAATACTTTACTTAAACATCAGCTGACAATTCAACACATGTGAACGTGTCAATTACCTAATAATATTATATAGATCATTCGCATATACCATAGTTCTCAGAAGTCTATTTTTTCATTTAAAACCGACGGCGGCGTTCTGCAATGCTATTAYTGTGATTTACACGATATCGTATTATATATATTTATTATTATATGCTATAAAAAACGAGTGCCAACGAAATAACAATAATAAAATACCATTCCGGTGTGGGTATTCAATCGTACRATTTACGCGCGTCACGACATATCGTAAATGTGCATTATTTAAATGATGCTCGTTGTCTCACATAATCCATATTATATTATTTTGTTTGTTTTTACGTTTAAATCATACTATTTTACTATTTCTCCAGCGTCGAATGRTCATTAAATAACCAATTCATAGTTTTATTGAATGTAAATGTATTAGTATTCTGATTAAAAACAAGCACGTTTCATAACCCTATAAATAAAAATAATAATTGGGTATTCATTKTTAAATATATTACGAACCAATACTTATTATTAGTATTTTTATATTTACCTGAACACAGACATGCATATATTGACAGATGACAATAATAATCATTATTCTGCGGGAAATATGTGTTCAATCTGTCATAAATCTTAATTTATAGTCAACGCCGTAATAGATTAGATCAAATTAGCAAATGATTTTTTTATACTACTATATTATATAAAATGATATACATTCCATTATTCTAGTTTGCTCTTTTTTTTCTACACGATTTTATATGAATCAAATTTTTTAAATTAATGTTAATTGTAAACATTTCTGTATTTTTTTTTAAATATTATTATTGTTAAGGCTTCAAAAACACAATTTATTAGCCTAAAATTGTTAGATACATGTTATTATATTAAACTACTTTACATTTTGAACAATTTTTTTTTT